TCGTTCAGTCTTGGCCACAGGTAGTCTTAACGACTGTAACGACTGTCGTCACAGCAACAAGGAACACTAACGAACCAGCGGTATCGATGACCCGGGCCAACGACCCCACTGAGGTTAAATAGCTGAGTTTCCCTGCCAGTCAGTCAGTACTGAAGAAGTCCTTTGGATGAGGGACGAAACGTCTTCCAGTAGCTTCAACCAAGTCCAGTTGCCCTTGATTTTAACCTTCGTTGGAGAACTATGACCTGGATGACTGAGAATCTTCACAGACAAAATCTTTCGTACCAAATGCAAAAGGTTCGTTCAGTTCATTGACATGTCTCTACAATGGAGTCGCATCCGTTACCGTCTGCACTGCATCTTCTTAATTGTTTGTATTGTGATTTCTAACGGAGACAAATTTCTACATTTGTGGATATTAAAGATCTTATAAATGAACCGCATGCACAAAATGAAACTCGTGCTCTCCAGCAGCTGATAAATGAATAATAGTATTGTTATTTATAATTTACAGGCGCTGTGCTTCAGTTTTCAGCCAGGACAAGCCCAGACTTTCAGATTCAGTCAATATTGTTTCTACCTCCTGCAGAGGTCTGAGATACATTAACCTTCCAATCATTTTAATAATTGTAATATTATTACAAACAGTCCTGGACTTACGTTGTGCACATTCGGGACTCGAACCGTCAACCTTCTGCACCGAACATCTCAGCCAACAGTTATGCAAACGACAGTTACGGTGCCTTTTATTTTGAAGGATATTACCGGAAACATGTTTGTTATTCCCGCTTCTTTTACAGTCTGACCCGCCCGCTGTGAGCTGGCATCTGCATCGGCAGAACTCCGCTTACAAAAACCTGTAAAATAACACCACAGCTCGGATTACCGAACCTGTATACCGACAACATTATATTATTCAGTTTTCTGAGACTGTCTGAGTCTCTCCTGTAAATCGGCAAACACGTAATCCACCAAATAGCAAGTGTTAAAGTTTAGTTTTAATCATTTACAGATATTCACCCCGTTTCTCACCAGACACCATCCGGTTTCTTATTAACGTGAAATGGATAGAAAAGAAAAGCAGTCCGGTGAGAGTGACATTCTCCTCACAAACACCAATTAAAGACAACACAGCGTTTCTACAGTTACTGCATTTTGTACCATCAACTTCTCACAGAGCTTATACTGAATTTGTTATAATATTTATTATAATTCTGCGGGCTTTTGTTTAATTTTCGGGGAGGAAGTCTCTCACAGTCTCCCGCGTTGCAGTACCGCTCCCTGCCTGAACCGCGCCGGTGGAGGCGCTGTTTCTCCAAAACACAAATCTCACACAAACGGATGGAGGAAAATAAAAATCACATAAAATGTTTGAAAAGTGAAAACTCTTCACGATTTTGTGTGTTCTGTGTGCTCTTATCTTGTAAATGCGAACATGTTTTGGAGGACGTCACCTTGAGCTTTCACCATTTTCTAATCGATGAATGGAGAAAATGATCGACAATACTGAAAATAATCGTCAGTTGCAGCAATATTTCTTATTTATATATTCAGTGTTTCTTTAAAGCTTTTCATCAGACTCTGAGCGTTACGACTCTGCAGGATTTTTATTTATTTGTGTCATTAAAATGTTTCTCCAGTAAAAGTCACATGATTTTTTTTCCAGGGGGAGATAAATGCATAAACACATAAAACAAGATATAAATTACAATAAAATACAGGAGTAAACAGACGTAGGAGCTAAACTAACCTCCCTGCCTCCTAGTCACCTTTTTTGAAGAAATTATTTCCATTTGGACTCAGTTTATAGAAGAAGTGTTTCCCTCTCAGGTGTCTATAATAACGTGTACTTCTGCAGAATGGCCGCCAGGTGTTTCTGCACAGCTGCAGGTGAGTGTTATAAAACGTCTCTGGTGTCGTTTAGACCAAAACTTACTCATTTAAAATAAATACATTTATCTCGTTCACGTAACGACAAAATAAACAAAACTCAATTTATTATGTAGAGATTTTAACAGTAAGTAAGTAATTTAGTTTGTGGCAAACTTTGTCAACAGGACACAGGCCTTTTTTCTCACTTTAAAGCTGGTACTGAGACATTCGGCATTACTGCAGTGAACACACAGCACAAATCCACTGAACTGAGTGTTTTCTGTCTGGCTTGGCCGCCATGCAGGGACAACATGTAAGTTCTTTAAAAGAAAGCTTCTTGTTTCGAGGTTTATTCAGATGCCGAATTTATTCAAAGATGCGAAATGTTTGGAAAACACGTGACAGCCTGTTAGAAAGATCTGTGTTCGCTGCCCATAAACACCGTTCCCTAAATTCACATGATTCCTAAATGGAGTCTGGCGAGCGCTTCCCCAAAGAAGATCCTGCTTTAATGCCGTCAGTTTAGTGAAAACAGTCTCTAATACAAACAGGAAAAACACATCAGAAACGTGAGAGATGACTTTTAAAAACGCTTAAAAACACCAAATGTGTTTTTACCTTTAAAAATAACATTCAAATTAAGTGTTTCTCGGAGGATCATTTAATCCCGATTATTTCCAAAGTCTCATTATTATTTGGAAAATATCGTTAAATCATTGTAAACGATGTGGATCATTGCTATAAAATCAGATTAAATAAATCCTCGCGTGTTTTAAACGGAGTTTGGCGAGCAGTTCGTCACTTCACTGATGATCACTATACAGTCCTAATAATGCACAGGAACAATAAACACACATGTTGTGAACGTCTTTCTGCTGTACATGATTTACTGTTTCCAGTCTTGCAGTAACATAAAGTTTTTACCTCAGCAGCAGCTGCACGCGTCGTTTTTCCTCCGCAGGTCAGACAGAATCAAACCAGACTCCACTGAAGAGTGTGTGAAGTTTGTTTCACACTGGAGCAGCTTAACTCTGCAGCTAAAAGCTTGAGAGAGGAAATCTGTTTAAATACATTCAATACATAAAACCCAACCTGTCCAAACATGGCCGCCATCCAATTAGCAGTGAAGGAGAGTGATGCAACATGCCCCCCCCCCCCCCCCCCCCCCCATACATTTTTACCACCATGTCAGCTGCACCTGGGGTTTATTCACTTTACAGTTTTCACTTGATTAGATGGAGAATCGCTGACGTGTTTAACGTGTCACCTGTTTGCTGTGGTTTGTTTAGATACTGTTTACTGAAATATTACACAGTACTACACAGAGTATAGTACAGAGTATAGTAGCAGTAGAATAGTACTTAGAGCTGTAAAAATGCCGACATTAAATACAAAGATTGTATTTAAGCATCTTTCTTTCTACGGTTTTCCTCTGTTTCAGTTGTAGAGTCTGTTCAGTGAAGAGTGAAAACCCAGTCCAGCTTCAGGTCTGTTCTGGACTCTGTTAGTGGGACGTTAGGAGGACAGAAGTCACCAACCAGCAGAGAAGCTGAAGGTTGAAACGCCCCCTTTAGACAGTGGACACGCACTAGTTGCTCCGTGTGACCTCTGACATGTACAGCAGTTGTAAGTCGATTTGGATAAAAGCGACAGCTAAATGTATTTTATCTTAAAATAACAGATAACAAACGCACAGGTGCAGCGCCGAATTATAAGAGTAAGGACGCCACATCACACAAAAGGAGAGGTGGGCTTGGATTGTGGAGTTTAGGGCAGAGAGGTAACCATGGCCTGGACCAGGATCTGGGTGGACTGCTGAGTAGGGGTGAGAATCTCCGGGTACCTGCCGTACGATTCTGAAACAATTATCGATGCGTCATTTTATTTCTACACAGGATCTCTGGAAAAGTCTAATTAGCTCAAAAGGACGAGTTTGCGTCCCTGGTTTACTTCAGCTCCGTGGTCCTGCGCGGTACAGGACGGAGCTGCACACCAGTTTAGTCTCAGCTTCTACCTGATGTTCAACCCTGGACTAGCAGGTAGATTAGTAAGACATACAGCTGAGCTAATCAATATGGCTTCCTTACTAATTTAAAACCCGTGCTGCACAGAGGAGACGTTAGCTCGCGCTGCAGCCTTCACGTCTCCAGCCGTTGGGGGGAAACGGACACTCTGTGACCTACGCTGCACGTTTACCATCAGACTGAAACTTGCTGCTAATATATTTCTCCGCTAACTTACACCGCCATGTTCTGCCGCTCGCGCTCTCTCATTCGCTCACACAGTGTGCGAGTTAAAATGAGTGATTGTGTGACATTTTAGTGGCGTGTGTACACTGGACATTTACACTTATTCTTTTAGCTGACGCTTGAATTACAATTGCTATACATGTCAGAGGTCGCACGCCTCTGGAGCAACGAGGTATGTGTCTTATCCACTGCGCCATCAGGTCCCCTCAAACCACCGTGAGTTCCAACGTTTGCGTTCCGTCAACATCAATTAACATAAATAATCGATTCAGAAGAATTGATTTTTAACACTGAGTGAGGTGGGGCCTGATTTTTCTTATGTCGTACAGATCAAAGCAGCAGCACGGTCTGAACAGCTGACGCCACAGCAGAGATTTCTTTGCTTCAGACCGATTTCGGTCTTTGGATTCACCGCTTTAGTCTGGACGGCCGGCGGAAACGTAGCAGACGTTTTAAAACGAAAATGTCGGACTTCCAGAGGAAGCACTGACCATGTTTGGCGTTGGGGGCGTGTCTGTATGTTAATAGGCCTGGGTGAGCAGGTAGATGTAGAACACTGTTCCTGTTTGCACGTCCCAACATGAGAAGCTGAAGGTGAAATAAAAGTGGAAACTGGGTGTTAAAGGGTTAAACTGTGTGTGGATGTGTGAGGGGAGGCACGTAGCTGCTCCTCCTCCTCCTCCTCCTGCTGCTGCTGCTGCTGCTGCTCGCTTTTTTATGAATGAGCTTCAAACACACAGTGATGTCAGCAGAAGCCCATCCCCCACTGATGCGGGAAAAACCTCACGATCAGGAGGAGAGAGAGGCGTCCTCATGTTCCCCATATGTCTCTCTCCCCCTCTCTCTCTCGGACAAACATCTCCCCTCCCTCCCTCCTTCCTCCCTCCTCTCCCTCGTTCACGAGCCTGAGGATGAGTAATCCAACAAGGGAGGGAGCGAGAGAGCTGGAGAGCTAATGGCAGAGGGAGGGAGGGAGGACCAACGCATCATCAGCATCATCATCAGTAAACGTGCAGAACGAGAGAGAAAGAAAATTCAAAACCTCTCAGCTCCTCTTTCCCTGCAGAGCTCAGTCACACCGGAGCCGGCTAAGTCCTGGACTGTCGCACGCTGAGAGCACGAGAAGAAGAAATAAGGTGCCTCTGGATCTGGCTAATCACTGGAGTGATTTATATTCCCGGACTGTCCACTTGCATGTGGCTCGTCTCTGGAGGAGCTGGAGGCATCGTGGCTTGTTTCACTGGATGATACCGGACTAATTCATGATTAGGAGGTTCACTGGCTCGTCTTTTGGACTGGGGGGACAGACTACTTCCTAAACAGGGTCCATCCTAATGAACCAGCTACTTCAAACCATCAGTGCCACTCCTCCACATGTGGTGCTTCAGAGGCTGGGATCTGGCTAGTATCTGGACTCCGTGATCCGTACCAGCCCTACACATCCCAGAAACCGGTCTATCTGTCTGCACACAGCCTCCTCCTGGGACCAGGTTAATCTCTGGATCAGCGTGTCTGGCATGTTCTGCTTCTGCCTGCAGAGTTCCCTGCTGAAGCTCCAGGCGCTGGAGGTGGAGGGGGGCCACCCGCTGGGTCTGTCCCCAGAGGAGAGCCCCCCTGCCCTGGGCAGCAAGGAGCAGAAGGGGCCCTGTGGCCCCGTGGAGCTCGGAGGGAAGGAGGGGAAGACGCTGGCTCTCTGCCACAGCGTCCCCACGGACGAAAACAGCCCGCCAGGTAGATGCACCTGAATCTAATAATGCCCCCCCACTTTACTGATCTTAATATTTATTGGTCCTGGTCTGTAAAGCTCATTGCAACAGCAGTGTTCTTCCTCTCCGCCCTCAGAACCTCTACAGACTGGACGCACAGTTAGTAGAGTCAGTCTTTGTGATGAGTCGGCTCATTGCGCTCAGCACGCCACCGGCCGTGCTCTGTCTGTGTGTGTCTGCTGCTATTTATAGTGAAACTCTCTGCAGCACGTGAGACACGCCGACCGCCTGTTTCCAGATCTGCCTTCACGCATTTCAGATTCCTTCCCGTTGTTCGGTCACGCCTACTTTTATTCCACAAAAAACGATCAACCGCAGCTATTTTTAATGACGCGACGAGGCGACGGACAAACTCATCTGTAACCGCTTCTGTTATCGATCCGCGTTCGAGTCGTTTCCGAGCATCGGTGCCGAAGCAGCTTCTCCGATGTCAGGATGTGCTGCTTTCTCAGTTTTGTTTCTAGGGGTTATTTGGTCCTTCAGGTAATTGTAGAGGACCTTTTTAGGGGGTCCTTGTGGTCAGGAGGTTCTAGAGATCCTTGATCTTGGTTTAGTGGTCACTCAGGAGACGTTAATGGTCCTGTGGGTAACTGACCTTTTAGGGGGGTCACTGAGGAGGTGGTGGTCTTTCAGTGGGGATTTGTGGTCATTAAAGGTCTGACCTGATGACTGACGGCTTTCTTTTAATAGAAAAGTCTTCTCTTCTTCTTCCCGGGCTCCATTCAGCTCTGTTATATTTACATTCATTTAGCTGACGCTTTTATCCAAAGCGACTTACAGCTGCTGTACATCTCAGAGGTCGCACGCCTCTGGAGCAACGAGGGGTTAAGTGTCTTGCTCAAGGACACATTGGTGGACGTGTCACAGCGGGGAGTTGAATCTGGGCCCTTTGGCGTCGCCTGTTAATGAACTGCAGCAGGTCACAGGAGCTTCTCTCTCTGGCCCCTCTCAGAATATAAAGAGCTCCAGGTTAGCGATGTCCCTGTTTCTCCACCTTGGTTTAGTGTTTACTCACAAACCGTTTTAAGCGGCTCCCCTTCAGATACACCTGCTGCTCTAACTTTATTCCTCAATAGTTTTATAAAGTCTCCCATATGGTTCTCGTGCCATGGGATCTTGCGATATTAAAACGTGACGATATTGTTCGAGGTGAAAAGCTGTCTCACGATATCAGCATGACGGAGTGTGAGGGTGAAGTTGCCGTAGAAGACGTCCTCACCGCTTTTAAATTGTTTGTATGGCAGCATTTTGGGAACCCGGTGGAAACAAAGATTTTGCCCTTACAGGTTTACAAATGGCGAGCGAACTTCCACGCTGACCACATGTTTCAGTGTTTGTGTCTGCGCCGCTGTGTGCATGACGTGAACCGGCGTGCAGCGCAGCCTGCGTGTAAATCTGACCGGTACAGGATCGGACATGCGGGACGATCGGTGCATCTCTAGTTCTAATGTATTTTAGGTTGTTCTGGTGGTCATTGAGGAGGTTCTGTTGGTCCTTAAGGTTGTTGTAGTGGTCACTGAGGAGGTTCTCATGGTCGTTTTGGTGGTTCTAGTGGTCCTTATATGTAGTGGGTTGTTCTAGTGGTCATCAAGAAGGTTCTGTTAGTCCTTCAGGTAATTCTAGGTGTCCTTTTTATGTAGTGGGTCTAGTGGTCATTGAGGAGGTTCTGTTGGTCCTTCAGGTGCTTCTAGGGGTCCTTTACGTAGTGGGTCTAGTGATCATTGAGGAGATTTGAGAGGTCCTTAAGGTTGTTCTAGTGGTCATTGAAGAGGGTTTTCATGGTCCTTAAGGTGATTCCAGGGGTCCTTTTGGTGGTTCTAGAGGTCCTTCTATGTAATGGGTCTTGTGGGTCATTGAGGTTGTTCTAGAAATTCTTATGGTAGTTATTGTGGTCATTGGGAGGTTCTCGTGGTCCTTAAGGTTGTTCTAGTGGTGCTTTTGGTAGTTCTATAGGTCCTTCTATGTAGTGGTTTGTTCTGGTGGTCATTGAGGAGGTTCTGTTGGTCCTTAAGGTTGCTCTAGTGGTCCTTCAGGTAATTCTAGTGGTCCTTATATGTAGTGGGTTGTTCTAGTGGTCATCAAGAAGGTTCTGTTGGTCCTTCTGGTGGTTCTAGGGGACCTTTTTATGTAGTGGGTCTAGTGGTCATTGAGGAGGTTCCTGATATTTTTCAATAAGTAATTCTATAAACTTTCTTCACAGGAGGAGCCGTTGTACATTAATAAAAAACTGAACACGTCCTCAGAGCTGCTTCTTATGCTAACAGGGGAGTTTCACTTAAATATTAACAGAATGGTTCTGTCCCTGCAGAGCTGCTGAGAGTCCTGACCAGACCTCCGCAGTCTCCCAGACACCAGCTGTTAACCACCATCCACCCTGCTCAGCAGCCCCTGCCTCCCGATGCAGAGCTGCCCCCCAGCCCTCACCACTCCCCCTACTCCCCACCGAGGAGCAACCCCGGAGGTGAGGGAGGAGGGGGAGGTGGAGCTCTCCTCCAGCTGCTGGCGGGCGGTCCCAGCCCTCTGCCCTCCCCCCGCTGCTCCAGCCACAGCCTGAGGTTCAACTCCGACCCCGACACGGCACCGTCACCGCCCTGCAGCCAGCAGTACATAGTGTGAGTGTCTCCCTGTCTGTCTGTCTGAGTTGATCCTCCTGTCTCCACAAACATCATGTGACATGGTTTGTGGCCTTAAAGTCCCGTGAATAAACTTGTCTGAGCTCTCGCTGGCCGCTGCATTAACACATCTTATATAATCCTTCTGTTTTCTGACCCACAGCCTGAAGCTGAATGTGTGCTTGTGACCCAGTTGACGGTCTTAATGGTCCGTCCTGTGTTTCTGCTTTACTGAGCAACAGTCATATTGAATCTGCTTCTTGTATTTTATTCGCCTGTTTATTTGGTTTTCTTACTCCCATCCTTCTTACATGTACACCGTCCTGCTACGATCACGTTCCCCTGTGCTTTGCATGTGATGGAAAAAGTCATTTAAAGTTAAGTCTGCATTTAATGGTGGGCCTGTGTGACGGCCCCGGGGGCCCTTTGCCTTGGGGCCACCTTAGCCTGGTGTCATGGCGGTGGGCCGGAGTGCAAATCCCTTCACCGACCACGTTTACCACTGACAGCACACGTTCAGAAATCAGTGATGCGGACTGTCACATCAATGTCACTGTCTTACAGTGAGATCTGGACCTCCGATTTGAAGCTGATTCGTCTGTCTGTTTACCTGTCTCTCTGTCTGTCTGTTTACCTGTCTCTCTGTCTGTCTGTTTACCTGTCTCTCTGTCTGTCTGTTTACCTGTCTCTCTGTCTGTCTGTTTACCTGTCTCTCTGTCTGTCTGTTTACCTGTCTCTCTGTCTGTCTGTTTACCTGTCTCTCTGTCTGTCTGTTTACCTGTCTCTCTGTCTGTCTGTTTACCTGTCTCTCTGTCTGTTTACCTGTCTCTCTGTCTGTCTGTTTACCTGTCTCTCTGTCTGTCTGTTTACCTGTCTCTCTGTCTGTCTGTTTACCTGTCTCTCTGTCTGTCTGTTTACCTGTCTGTCTGTCTCTCTGTTTACCTGTCTGTCTGTCTCTCTGTTTACCTGTCTCTCTGTCTGTCTGTCTGTCTGTTTACCCGTCTGTCTGTTTACCTGTCTGTCTGTCTCTCTGTTTACCTGTCTCTCTGTCTCTCTGTCTGTCTGTTTACCCGTCTCTCTGTCTGTCTGTCTGTCTGTTTACCCGTCTGTCTGTTTACCTGTCTCTCTGTTTACCTGTCTGTCTGTCTCTCTGTTTACCTGTCTGTCTGTCTCTCTGTCTCTCTGTTTACCTGTCTGTCTGTCTCTCTGTCTGTCTGTTTACCCGTCTCTCTGTCTGTCTGTTTACCCGTCTCTCTGTCTGTCTGTTTACCTGTCTCTCTGTTTACCTGTCCAGGTGTCGAGGTCGGGACAGGTCGGAGGGATCGGAGGACGAGTGTCTCTCCTCCGTCCCGTTCCTCAGCCGACAGATTCAGACCCTGAAGAAGAAGGTTCGCAGGTTTGAGGATCAGTTTGAACAGGAGATGAAATACAAGGTAAACACAGCAGGGAGCAGGATCCCAGTCCACAATCAAGTCCAGGACCCAGAGGGTCTTTTCACAAATCAGTATAAAGGCAGAGTACAGGAAACCAGCTACCTTTGTGCTAAGCTAGCTACCTTTGGCAGGAATTGCACTGTTTATCTTTTCTTCTCCATCAAACAGTGATTCAGCTGCTGTCTTATTTAATGATGCGGAATAACATTAACTTTTATATCATTCATTTACCGATAACGAGCAAATCATCACCTGAACGTAGCTTTAGCTAAGGCTATCCACGGCTATCTCACAAGCCTTCTTTCTGCACACTTTCAAGTCTTCAAAATGATTCAGTTCCTAACTTTCGTGTTTTACATCTTGCCGTGTAGAAATGATGTTGATGGTGTCGTGTTGTGTTTCTCAGCCGTCCCACAACGATAAATACTCGAACCCCGAGATGGTCGGAGTGATGAGTGAACTGGCGAAGGCTCGCAAACAGCTCAAAGGTGAAACCATCAAAATATGTGTTTAATTGTTGTAAAGCACTTTGCAATGTTGGTTTGAAAAGTGCTCTATAAATAAAGCTTATTATCACTTTGTTACACCACCGTGTGTCTCCTGCAGAGCTGAGACTTAGACAGTCGGTGTTTGAGTTGAAGGAGCAGGACGGGCCTGAAAACATCTGCAGGTAACACCAGCACATCACAACACGTCGAGTCAACGTGATACAGTATCATCAGATCCATCAGTCAGTGTCGATGTGTCCTGCAGGCACGGCTCCGGCCAGCAGGGGGCGGCAGAGCACAAACCCACGCTAGAGGAAACGGTGGAGTCTCTGTTCAGGCGGCTGAGAGAGAAGAGACAAGCTCTGGGCCTGCCAGACAACATGAAGGTCAGCTTTCACTCAGACGTCCTCACCAGACTCTGTTCATTTTCTTCAGAGTTTTATTCCCCCATGTCTGTGTGTTTAATCTGACAGCCTGTGTGTGTCTGTGTGCAGGAGATGACTCAGGCTCAGATGGTGTTGGAGAAGATCACTCTGCAGAAATGTCTGCTCTACTTTGAGAGTCTGCACGGCCGGCCGGTGAGTCTAGTGGGCAGAATGAAAAACAGAGCAGGAACAGAAAATACCAACGCAATTCAAAGGAGGACGTCTTTTCTGTTCTGCTCTAGAGACTCTGCTTTGTGAAATGAATCCTGCGTTAATAAATCTCCATTAAATCCTCAAGTTTACATTGTGAGCAGCCAACAGAGGGCCGACCAGGGGCCACCGAAGTCACAGCAGTCGGCCTAGATGGGGCCAAGACCCCGGTGATCTCTGTTAGCTTTCCACGGTCACAGCACCATGTGATTCAGATTTGTATTAAGTGGTGGTTTTCCTCTGATGACAGGAACGATTGGAGTTTAAAGTTGGAGAGAAGCTGCGTTCATGAGTAGTGATTAATATCCGACGATTGTTCAGAGGCGTCATCTGTCCTGCTGAGATCAACCAGCTAGATCAGCAGTACACACGTTGTCGGTCTTTCGGTCCGTTGTTGGCACGTTGTTGGCACGTTGTCGGTCTGTTGTCGGCACGTTGTCAGTCTGTCGGCAAGCTGCTCAAATTAATGTATAATTTTAATGGAGATCAGTTACAGTAAATTAATTTCATGGAGCAGAGGATCAATTTCAATGAAGCAGCTATTAACAGAAACGAGGTCTGACAGTCTTAAAACTGGGCTAAATTGACTTATTTAGATTATAACCCTTCTAGAGGCACAAAGATGTTGCCGTGGTAACTCCATATCTGTCTGTGTGTCTCTCAGGGAACAAAACAGGAGAAGAACCTGGTGAAGCCTCTGTACGACCGATACCAGATGATCAAACGTTTACTGTGTGCCAGCCCGACCATCACTACCATAGTGAGAAACACACACATTCACTGTCACTGGTTCACTGGTAGCATGCTAACATTAGCATTCATCTGTGAGCACACTCTGACAAACAGGTGGGGGAAGAAGTCTTCACTCATTTCTTACATGTCTAATTAATGAATAAAATTCAGGTTTCTTGAGCTGTTACTCGTTAGCTGGTTGTTTTTGCTGGATGATGATTTACAACATGAGCTTTCCTCTGGCGCCCCCCTCAGGACAGACTTTAATCTTTAGCTCCAATGCTTCTGTCTCTCAGGAGGAAGAGGACGGTTCTGATGAAGACTCAATGAGCTCCATGACAGTTGATGAACCTCCAGTCACGCCTCCTCGCTGTGCCACACGCCCAGCTGTCTGCGAGGAGGACAGCGACCGGGACAGCGACCCCGCCTTCGTGTCGCCGTTAGACGAGGTGAAAGCCGTCCATCAGCCGCCAGCTCTCACCATGGCCGGCCTGCACGAAGCCTCCAGGTCTGTATGTGGGCTCTAATAGGGTAGTTTATTACAAACGTCATGTGATTTTAATAAGGACTTCTGGAGCAGAACATTGAGGTTCTGGTTTCACTTAAGCCAAGTTATTACTGACTAGTCCAACTAAAGAAGGCCGTCTGTCCTGCGTTCTTTCAGCTCTTTTAGCTCATGCCAACGAGTAAAAGCCAGTCTCATATTTACTCTTGTCCGGTCTGTTGTCTGTTCACTCTTTTTTTCTCTTCCTCACTTCTGCCATGATATCCGTACTGAGAATAGCGAGCTAGCTTCTTCTTATAGCTAGCTTACTTGGTGTGTGTGACGTGTTGCCATAAAGCATCACGCTGTTGTCGCGAAAGGTTTCCTCCCCGGGATTTTAATGCTGCAAAGTGCATTAGCAGTCGCTGTGGACCCCGAGTCAATGTAGCATCATTATTTTAAGATGAAAATACAACATAATCCTCATTGCAGGGGCCCAGGTTTGAGTCAAGCCCACATTTCCTGTCTCTTTTCAGCGATTCTATTCAAAATAAAAATCAAAAACCAAAATAACAACTAAATAATGTCGTTTTAAGACCAACTGTTA